TAATGAAAATTGGTCTACTGCTATGGGCATGACTGTGAGTCCCACAGTAATAAAGCAAATGTTTTCTAGGTCCAGGGGATTTATATGCAGAAATCATCTTCACAAAGCAAACTTTGTCTAAAACACAAAGCTTTTATTTTTAAAGGAACCATACTATATTCAAGGACACTATGTTGTTATTGATGTTTATATCAGATATATTAAGAAACAATTATAAAATGGTTCTAATCTTCTGTATGTGTTTTGATCAATTTATGTCTAGTCATTCTAAAATTAAATAGAGAAAATTTGTTTTTCAGTGAGTCAAAAGCAATCTTTCAGGGTTGAACAATAGGAAATGTGGAGGTATTGTTCTGGTTAGGCACTCGGCTGGTTAGACTTCAGAGTCTGTGTTAAGAATGGGCAAATATAGACTTATGAACTGTTAGATCAAGCGCTATGTTTTAATTATGTTCAGGGAACAGTTTAAAATACTAGTTGACAAATTAGCTCCAGTTTAACTGAACTATTGTTTTGAAGCAGCTATTATCTGAGAGTACACTGTATACGAGATGATGAAATCTAATAAATAAGTACCTTGGAGAGAAAAGATTTCATCTTCCAGTGGAAAACATCGCTGGAGTTTTTTTTTTTTTTTTTTTTTTGCAACAGGGATTGAACTCAGGACTTGTGCTTGTGAAGCAGGTGGCAGCACCACTGAGCTAAATCCCCAGCCTACTGGTGCAATTTTTATTATATGCCTAGGGCATTTTGATAGTCTCCTTTAATGATTTAAGAAAACCCAAGATAGTAAAAAAAAAAAGTCAGAATTGCAAAAGTAGCCCAAAGTATTAAGTTGCGCCTGCATGTAATTGCTCACAAAACTCAGAGTGCAATCATCATTTTTGTCAGCCAGGGAGCTCAGAACAGGTATAAGTATGGTTCTGGAGGAAAGAGCATAGATGGGGCCCAGAGATGGCTTGGATTTGCAGTGTGTGGTTCAGATTAGAATTAACTGAAGCAGTACAGGTGATTTTTCTATTGTTAGTCTTTATCATCAATGCAGCATGAGTAGTTTGGAGACTGCATTAATAGAAAGTCAGAGAAATAATTGGATATCATTCAAAAAAATTATCTGACTACCTTTAGGAAAGCTGTTTATCTTAGTAATACATGAGTGTGAATGGTCATTCATAAATGTTAAGCACTTTTCAGGGGAGAGAATTGCACACAGACCCAATTAAAGCTGTTTAAGTCAACTTTTCAAATCCCAAACTGTAAGTGACCGCAACAGGTACTGAACAGTGGATGGATGTGTGCTCATGTTCTTGCTTGTGTGCTGTACTCGCTCTCCCACTCTAGGTAGAAAATTAGTAGGTTAAAGACTTCAAATGCCATCTAATTACTGATGCCTAGAATGATAGAGTTGAGAGCTCTAATCTGATGCAGTCCACCTACTGTGCAGATGAGGAAATTGATCCCCTTATCAAGATTTTAAAAATTAATGAATTGGAATCAGGCTGTCATGCAATATACTCTCCACAATTGTCCATCGAGCTAAATAAGATGCACATATTCTTGAAAAGTCTAGTCACGTCTATAAAGATGCTGGTTTTAACTTTATTGAACTTTTGTTTTAAGATAGAAACTACCTTAACCACAGACAAACTCACCAAAAAGTAATCGTTTAACTGAGTGGAACTGGAGAATAGAAATTAGAGACACAGTGGTCTCTGAGTTGTGGAAAAGTTGACTACATGGCCAGGATAGATAAATGCAGGCCCCATGGAAAGTGTCCCTTTCACCTTGTGGATTAGGGACCAGGGCAGAAGCCATGAGAGCTAAATAGCTGCAGAAGAAAGAACAAGGCAACTCTGACCTGAGGAGGCTCTCAAGAGTCTCCATGTTCTCCTTGGGTAGAAGATGAACTTGAATCTCCAGGCAACTGATCACTGTCCCTGACCTGCTTGTCAGTGTCAGTGTAAATCAGAAAATGTAAAAAATGCCTTGGCTGGGCATCCACCAACCTGAGGGCTGTTGCCTACATTTGTCCGCAGAACAAACTGAAGAATAGTCCCAAAGGAGTGTGAGGGAAGGATGAAAAACCATCTGTCTGCATAAGAACTTAGCTCTGTTTCGTGGTGATTATGATAGGGTGTATTACTAGAGAATCTTACAAGTGCCTTGTACCTACACTAATGCAACAAATAGTGTTCCCAACACCCCGGAAATCATTTTCTTCTGGACCTCTTAGCTTCCTGATTCACCTATGAGTACATATGTTACTGAGAATAGTTATATACTAGGATTATCTGGTAGAGTGATTACTTTCAATTCACCAAAATTGAATTGCCTTTTAAAAATACTAATGATGGGTGGGAAGGAACTGGTAGAAAGAAATCAATCGTAACGCTGCCACTTGCCTCAGTTCCTCTGTCGCTCTGGCCACACTCCGTGCTATTCCTTGAGCACATCAGACTTCAAAGCATGATGGACACAGCCTTTGCCTTGTTGCTGCTGCTGCTGAAAATACTCAGGCCCATCTGTCTGTGCAGCTACCTCTCTCGTCGTCTTGAAGTTCATCTTCATAGAGGTCTGGCAGATTCGATATTTACTATGGTGATCCACACGCCCCCAGACCAGGACTCCCTGTCCACCCATCATGGTCATGGTGTTTCCTTGTAGCTCTTTTTACCTTCCTGGGTACATGATTATTTATTTATTATGTTTAGTGTCTGTTTTCTCCCATGAGGACATACAAGCTCTACAAGGACATGAATCTTCTGTGTTTGGTTTGCTTATTTACTCTCAAAGCTTAGGACATAGTAAATACTTGCTAAATATTTTTATTGAATGAATGGCCACATGAAAATTGACCTCCAAGGATAGTTATTTGAAAAAAGTTCCAACCGATTTAACCTACATGTTGCTATTTTTTACAACCAGGATTTGCTCATAGGATAGTTGTGTTTTGTTTGGCTTGTATTGTTTTCCTTTTTTGAGACATGATCTTGCTATGCGGTTCAAGATACCCTTGAACTCATGGTGTAGCTCAGACTGGCCTCAAACTTGTGACAGCTCTCTCCCTCAGCCTCCCAAGTGCTGGGATTACAGGCATGTACCACCATACCCGGCATTCATAGATTACTTTTGCAATATACTTCTCATTTTGGTTAATTGGTCTATAAGGGAGTAAGTCTTTCTCAAAAGGCTTCAGTTAGAGTGATAATAGAACCAATATTCAGGTTTTCTTTGGGAAACATGTAGATTACAATAAAAATCAGTAAAAGAGACTATAAGTTACAGACGTTTCATGTCATATCAAACCATGTCCAGATAATGAGGAAATAGTATCAGAGAAAGAATATCTTTTCACTTGGGTAGCTCCCTTGAAATTGTCCAAAATAAGAATGGTCATTTTGGTATTACTTCTACCAAAAAAAAAATTTTTTTTAATGACTATAATGACAGATAAAGGTTAAAATTCAGGGCTGCTTGTGTAGTACCTCTCAGAAAAG